AATAATCTCGACTGTATCCAGGTAGACACGTGCGCGGATCTTGATCTCGTTGCAAACATTCAAAACCCACAGGACACAACTGACATTGCACTGCTCCGGTTTTGGAAGCATAATAATTTTGTTGACACGGACTACATGATGAGGATCTCTCAGAGTCACTAAATGTTCCTGGGCGGCAAGGGGACGGTGGTTGATCGGGTCTTGGACACTCATTTCCTTTCGGACAGACAGCTTAAAACCAATAAAATAGTGAAATGATTTATTATTCTTAAATAAATAACTTACTCCATAAAACGGCACCACTTTGTGTTGTATACGTGCCAGCTGGGCATGACTGACAAGCGTAGCTTCCATAATCATAGGAATATGTTCCAGGGCGACAGGACAGTGGTGCCTGATCAGGGCGTGGACATTCACTTCCTTTAGGGCATATCTGGCATTCAATGGAAGTTGATGATGTACTAAAATAACCCTGGGTGCATTGCTGACATGTTGTGCTTCCAAAAGTATCTTGATAGGTGCCTGAAAAACATGGATATTTTGATTTGAAATAGTGAAGACTAAACATAAATAAAATTTGTGAATTGTACCTGCTGGACAAGCGATTGGAGCTCGATCATTGTTAGGACACATCATTCCAAGTGGACAAATCATGCAATCTGTTGAATTATAAAATGTTGTATAATAACCATTGGGACAATTAGCACAGCTTGATGATCCATAATCATTCTGATATGTTCCAGGACCACACGGTAATTGTCTTACTCCGTCTGGACAATAAGAACCTGGTTCGCAATCATAACAAGTACTATTAACTAAATATTGTCCAATACTACATGTCGTTGCACAGTGTCCATAACAAAAACAACTTATGCATAGTGCAACAACTGAGAAGAAGAAGTTCATATTGACTAGAATGACTGTTATTGATATAGGAGACAAAATATTGTTACAGTAAACAAGTACAATTGATGAAGCAGAATTTTTAACAAATTTACTGAATCAAATTAAAATGAATTTGTATTTAAATCTTACGTATGTTACGTTTACAAATAAATGTTCCTTGAGAGAAGAAGACACACCTTTTTATTTATTTAGCAATAATTGCATCATTGTATACCATTATTATACACAATATCACCTTGACGCTTATCTCTGATATTATTAAAAACAAAATAAAAAAATCTTGTCATTTGTTTAAATGAGAGAATGTGCACCTTGCATCATCATT